TCAACCACCGGCAAGTCCAACAAGAGCTCACATAGCCATTCTGCTACTACAGAAGCTGTGTCAAAAGCAGTAAGTTCGGCTTTCAAGGTTGACCTCATCAAAATGACCTGTTTGCTAGGCCTCCATGGCTCTGCACCACCTCTAAGAGTAAATACATACCATCTAGTGGCGTAGAGTTCATCAACGTCAAATATCCATTTAGGCATTGTATCCCTCAAGCATATTGTTGGGTGCCCAGAATAATGAATTCCATAGCTCATTGTACCTTTAAGATAATGCAAGACCCTTTGAAGTGGATGCCAATGATCATCACTTGGGTTGGACATGAACCTACTCAATCTACTCATAGCAAAAGAGATATCTGGTCTTGTTGCGCTAGCTAAGTACATGAGTGAATCAGTAATCTGAGAGTGCCTCCATTGTTCTCTAGCTGTCTGTTGGTAATGTCCTGAAGAGGCAATCATACTTGTTATATGGATTGGGCCCATAATGGGCTAAAACATAATCCCTTAGGGGCATTAGTATACTTCTAATGGGCTTTTAACAAGGGACAACTTTAAAGCCCACGAGTGGAGGTAGATTATGTAACATTAATTAGTACCATATCACTAGTTGATGTTGAGATAGGGAGTTATCCTCCCTGTATAAATGTACCAACACCCAATGGGGAAGATAACTCTTGGTCCTTCCAAGTCTAAGCTTAAGCCCCCTTTCTCACCCTCTAAGCTGCATGCCAGATGCTAGCACACCGACGCCCAGTGTTCCATCTCCGCACGTCACTACTACAAAAAAACTTAACCGCAACCTTTTCAAAAACCCCTCAGAGGCGGGAACAATTTTGAATTGCCTCGGTTAATGCCTCAGATTAACCAAGGCGTCGCTTTTAATTAACCGAGACGGTCACTTTTAATTAACCAAGGCGGTTACAAACAACCGCCTCGCAAAATCGATTTACGGTAACCGCCTCCTAAAATCTATTAACCGGCCCACCTCCAAAAACACCCCTATTTTCGGAGGCAGGCCTTTTATTAGACCGCCGCCTCGATTAATATGGCTAAGCCCACCAAAAATCCACCTCGGCCCATCCTGGCCTGACACCGCGTCACATTATATATATTCAGAGAATGAAACCCTAAGCCCTCACTCTCTCCCTCACCCGGCCGCACACGCCCCTCGTGAAATCGCAACTCCTCTCGGTGTCTCCATCGCGAGTCACGACTGCCTCTCCCTCGCGACAGCACTCTGACCACCCTCTCCCTTGTGACACCACTCCGGCCGCCCTCTTCCTCTCCCTCTCCCTCTGGCCTCCCTCTCCTCTCTCTCTCTCCACAGCACTGGGCACGGCCCCTCCTCCCCGCTGACGGCACCAGCAGTGGCAGCACCACCTCCTCCGCGACGGGCATGGTGCGATGGACATGGCCCCTCCTTCAACAACGGAGGCACTGCAAGTGGTCGGATCTATGGCGGGCCCACTTCCGGGCGTGGTCGCGGGCGGGCGAGCCAAGGCGCGGGCAGGCAGCAGGTGGCGGGCCCGACTGAGGCTGCGGTGGGCTCCTCCCTCTCCCAGTGGTGGCACCTTCCTCCCCTAAGCTCCTCCACTAGCAGCGGCGCGCCCTCCTCCCCCATCTCCTCCTCTGGCTACGTGGTGGCCGGATCTATGGCGGGCCCACTTACCGACGGCGGATCCACGCCCGACTAGGATGGATCCGGCGGTGTGGCTGCTGGATCCGGTGGCTGGGAGTCGGATTCGGATGCGCCTTGGCCTCCTCCCCTCCCTCCTCCATCGCAGCCACAGATCTCAAGCGGGAGGACGCCCCCGGCGGGTGGATCTGGCGGCATGGTGCCCCCCAGTGGTGGATCCGGTGCGTGGCCCAGCCTCCTCCCTCCCTCCTCCACGGTGGCGTGAGATTTGGGGGGAGGACGCCTCCGATGGATCCAACGGGATGGTGCCCGCCGGCGGTAGATCCGGTGCGTGGCCTAGCCTCCTCCCCTCCCTCCTCCACGACAGCGTAGATCTAGCGATGGTGGCTCCTCCCGGCGGTTTCGCCCCATGGGCTGGGAACGGGCTCGTCGGTGGGCTCGAGAATAGGCAAACCGGCAGGCTCAGTTATTTTTTTTTGTTTTTTTAACTGATTAACCGAGGTGGGTAGGAAACCGCCTCGGTTAAGGCCACATTAACCATGACCTTCACTCTAAGGCGGATGGCTTGCCCGCCTCAGTTAACCCCTTTTGCCCACATCGGTAAAAAATAGTGTAGTAGTGAGTGTGGATACTATGGAGACATCTGCTATTGTTGTCGCAAAGATCGATCGACAACGAACACGAGGCAAGCGGACGTGTTATTGCTACTGGTATGTGAGGATGTATGACTACTTCCACTACAATGAAGCGTGACGTTGGGCTGCTACAACTCTAGCTATGTTGTGCGTCTAGTGGTAACGATCGATGATCCTCTACTCGCATGTCGTTATCTTGGTTGAACATGGTAGATCTGCTAGTGTAGCATACCCATTTCCGTACACTATCCTCTTGTTCTTTTCAATGTTACATTGGGATCATAATGTGTTGGAGAAGGTTTGCTATCCATATACCCGAACTGGCTTAAGATCTTCTGAACATATTGAGATTACAACAAAGTAATCTTACTCTCATCCTCAATAAGCTTGATGTTTAGAATCACATCAGGTTCTCCTAGATCTTTTAGGTCAAAACTCTTTGAGAGAAAAGAATTTGCCTTATTGATTGCATCAATGTTTGTGCCAAAAATCAGAATATCATCAAGATGCAAACATAGTGTAACAGTATGCCTCCACCATGGCGATAATACACACATTTATTAGCCTTAGTAATGGTAAAGCCGCAAAAGGTTAAAGTTCTGTCATACTTCTTATGCCATTGCTTGGCTGCTTGTTTCAAGCCATACAAAGATTTCAGTAACCTACACACCTTGCGCTCTTCTTCTTGTACTACAAGCCCATCAAGCTGATCCATATATATTTCCTCATCCAACTCATGTAGGTTGTATTCACATCCATTTGATGAACGAGAAGACCATATGAGGCAGCCAGGGAAGTAGCACTTGAATAGTGGTCATTCCAGCAACATGTGAATAAGTATTAAAGAAATCATTGCCTTGCTTCTGGGTATAACTCTTAGCCGTAAGCCGAGCCTTGTACTTGTCAATAGTACCATTAGGCCTAAGCTTCCTTTTGAACACCCACTTACAGCCCGCAGGTTTACAACAATTGGGTAACTCAGTTAATTCCCAGGTCACATTAGAAAGGGTCTAGTCCATCTCATTACGGACAACTTCTATCCAATCATCAACATTTGGATCATGCATATGCCTTTGAAATAGACAAGGGAGTATTGCCCACAAGGTACACAATGAAATCATCACCAAAAGACTTTGTAATCCTTGTCTCTTGCTCCTCACAGGAGCTCCATTGGCATTCTTCTCAAGGACTTCCTCATGTGGATGCTCAAATGACTCAACAGGAGACTTGATAGGTGTAGTAAAATGTCAAGCTATCTTAGAAGAAAATCTAGAATTTCTATGCATATCGTCTTTCGTACGAAATATATTCTAAAAATATAACATCATGAGATTCCATAATTGTATCAACATGCATATCAGGAACTTTAGATTTTACCACTAAAAACCTATAGGCAATGCTCTATTGAGCATATCCTAGAAAGGCCATCCATAGCCTTGGGTCCAAGCTTGCGCTTCTTAGAAATTGGTACGTTGACTTTCGCCAAACATCCCCATGTACGCAAGTATGAAAGTGACGGTTTCCTTCCAACCCAATCCTCATATGGGGTTGTCTCATTATTTCTATTTGGAATTCTATTCAGGACATGACTCGTAGTCAATAAAGCCTCCCCCACCATGCCTTAGAAACTAGCAGGTGTCTAATTTGGCGTTCACCAAGTCATTCAAATGCGACTTTTCCTCTAGGCAATCCTGTTTGATTCAGACGAATAGGGAGGCTTCCTTTCATGAATAATGTCGTGTTCCTTAGAATCCATCAAACAATCTGGGAAAATACTCACCACCATGATCCATCTTTAGACGCTTAATCTTCCTCTCTAGTTAGTCTCAACTTTAGACATATAGAATTTATAGTAGTATAGTGTTTCATCCTTAGATTTGACCAAGTAAACATTGCAAATCTAGTTGTATCATCAATTGAAGTCATGAAATATCTCTTTCCACCTTTTTTCCCTATTCATCTCGCATATATCAAAATGTATTAGCTCTAGAGGTGCCACATTTCTCTCACCTCTACCTGGTGAGGCTTTCCAGGTTGCTTTGATTGCACCCAACTATGGCACTTAGAACCTTTGACAATAGTGAAATCTAGAATTAAACTCATGATGGACAATCATAACATCAAACCAAAGTTAACATGACACAAACGAGAATGCCAAACACTCGCATTGTCATTATCCGTGCCACAAATATGGTTCACTGACTTATTACAAAAATTTGCTGAAGAAAAGCGAAACAAGCCCCTGCACTCATAGCTTTTACCAATAAATTGTCCACGCTTCAACACCACTACTTTAGTCGACACTAACACTACCTTAAACCCGTCTCTGAAAAAGAAATCCTTCTTTTCAGAAATCAAACATGAGAAAATTCAAGACTATGCATGCTCGGTGAAATTGAATACTCTCTCTTGTGCTAGAATTATGTATCCACTCTGAAGATTACATGCTACTGTGTCATGCAGTGAAGATGGGGAGTGCTTGAGTCGAACGAAACCTGAAGAAAAATACACTTTTTTTAAACTGACGTTATGGTACAGATAGATAGGCTTTTGTTGTGTCAGCCTTAGACACTAGGGTAAAAGATATTCATCCTGCAAGACCAAAATAGGAACAGTAAAATACAACTACTCAACTAGAACATTTTTTTTGGACAAACTAGAACAAATTTTGAAGTATACGATGTCAAAGTATAACGGACGTTGCTAGTGTTACCTCAGTTTTGACTATGATATATATGCTTTCTTGATTCCGTGCAACCTTGCAGTGACTTCCTGCATGCAGACGCGCTCATTCGGGGACGGCTTGGTGCAGAGAAGCCCAATGTTTAGGACTGAAAGCAAACACTCCAAGCTTTTCTCCTTCATGGCCACTGAAGTTTCTGGACATAAATGTTGTTGCTCTACTAGTAGTTCAGGATCTATTATCTGTGGTATCCTGTCAGGAAAGTTCATCTCAACAAATTTTGTAATGTTCATCTCACCATTGAACATATCATCAGTTGGCCTCCTTCGCAAAAATATTTCAAGTAGAACAATCCCGAAGCTGTATACATCCCCAGCACTTGAAACAGCTCCGCCTGCAGCACACTCTGCAGATTGCACAAAAGAATTGTTTACTCCAATGATAAAAGTACATGAAAACATTACCCTGCATGAAACTTGGATTACCTGGAGGAATATACCCTATTGTTCCCATAATAGCGACAGAAGACGACATTAAATAAGTGGAGGACGATGCTGCAGAGTCAAACTTGAACCTTGCAAGACCAAAGTCTCCAACATGTGCTGTCATATTGTCATCCAAAAGAATGTTGCTAGGCTTCAGATCACAATGGACAATAGTTCCTTGGTTGCCATGGTGGAGATACTCCAATGCATCTGCGACATCCACTGCAATACTTAACCTTTGAGCCATTGTTATGTGGCTTCGAGTTGATGTGTTCCCATCACATTGAGTCGAGTATAGTAGCTCATGCAAGTCACCTTGTGTCATGAACTCATAGACTAAGGCTTTGAAATCATTTCCATTGGAATCAATACTAGAGCATGCAGTGAGTATAGGAACTAGATTTCGGTGCCGCACCTTTCGTAGAGCATTACATTCTGCAATGAAGCTCTTTTGTGCCCCCCATGTCTCTAGGCGAAAAACTTTGACAGCAACCATGGTTTTGTCTTGGAAGAGTTCTCCTTTATACATGGAAGAATATCTTCCTTTGCCAATCAAATTGCATGATGAGAACCCGCATGTTGCTCCAGCGAGATCGTTGTATGAAACTTTGGGAAATTTGCTACTGAATGAGGGCAAAGATAACAGATTTGTCTTTTGTTTTCCTCTCCAGACAACCATTACAGTTATGACTATAGCAAGGGACAAAATGCAAGATAATGGGATCACTACTTTTTGTACAATGGAATGCCTCTGCTTACTTGAATTAGCAGGCATGACATGGCATGCGAGTAGGTGTAGCTCCAATGGCCCACCACAAAGCCCTGGATTTCCATCAATCCTCACAGCAGTCACATTACTGAATATCCCTTTCAATGGGACCTGACCGCTGATGTTGTTGAATGACAAATCTAGTTGCTCAAGGTATTGGAGGTTTGTGAGGGACATCGGTATTGACCCGGTCAAATTATTGTGAGACAAGTCCAGAACTTCTAGACCCCTTATGTTGCCTAGTGAAACGGGTATGCTTCCTCCGAAACTATTCTGTTGCAACCCAATGTACTGCAAGTTTTCACAATTACCTATATTGGTTGGAATGTCTCCAAACAGCATATTTGACGAAAGATTCAAATATATGAGCTCCTTGGCATAGCCTACTTCATAAGGGAGTTGCCCATGCAGGTGGTTTACAGATAAATCAATATGAAGGATTGCTGGAATTCCAAACATCTCTTTGGGAATACCACCATGAAGAAGGTTATTTGAAAAGTCACATAGTTGAAGATTTTGAAGATTTCCTATGCTTGCAGGTAAATGCCCTTCGAATTTGTTGGATTCAAGATAGAGATATAATAGCTGAGACAAGTTCGAAAGGGATGATGGAATAAACCCAGTGAAGTTGTTGTTACCTAAATTCATCACTTGTAAACTGTTTAGAGTTCCAAGCCATTCTGGAACCTTGCCTGTAAATTGATTCCCACCTAGTCCTAACCAAAACAGGTTGCGAAGGTTTGCGATGCCAGAAGGAAAACCACCTGATAATTGATTATTCCCCAGTAATAATATCTGCAGTTCAACAGAAAGGTTACCTAATGAAGTTGGTACGTGGCCTTCTAGCTGATTGTCAACTACTGATAATCCTTGTAGCTTACTACAGTTGCCTAAGCTGTAAATAAACTCCCAGTCTTGACTGTTACGAGCTTTAAGTTTATTTAACTCAAGATTCAGCCCGTAGAGATTGCCAAGTTTGCCAATGGAACTAGGGATCACGCCAGTGAAACTGTTGTTTGACATATCAATCATGCGCAGATCTGATGCATTGGCCAACGAGGAAGGGATGTGACCATGGAAAAAGTTGTAGTCTATTAGAAGAATTTGGAGGTTGGGAAGAGAGCTACCTAGGCCAGGTGGCACCTCGCCGCTTAAATCGTTCATTGCAATACGAAAGGAAACGAGGGTTGAAAGATTCAGGATGGCCTGTGGAAAACTACCTACCAAATGGTTGTCACCAGTGTGCAGACGCTGTAGCTCCGGAAACTTCGCAAACTCATGTGGGAAGTTTCCCTCAATGCTATTGTAATTGAAGCCCAACACCTTAAGTGTTGTGATATTGGCAAGAGAAGGAGGGATGGTGCCTGAAAGATTGTTAGATCCAAGCTCCAGCTGTTTAAGTCCAAGTGGCAGGTCCGGAAATCCTCCAACGAGATTGTTCCCATTGAGCCATAGTATCTCCAGATTGGAACAGTTTCCAAAAGTAGGTATAACTCCATGTAACGTGTTGTTACTCAAGTAGAGGGTTTGGAGGCGATGCAACTGGCCAAGGGCTGCTGGGATTTGTCCACTGAATCTGTTTGTTGCTAGGGACAGCTGTTTCAGGAATGTCAGGTTTCCGAGCGAAGGAGATATTTGGCCGACTAAACCTCGATTTCCAAGATCAAGATTAGTGACACGATTGCTTGTCGTCCTGCACGTGACACCTTCCCAATTGCAGAAATGAGTGCTGTCATTCCAAGAAGCCAATGCTTGCTGTGGATCCAAACTGATCGAGTTCTTGAATTCAAGCAGTGATAGTCGATCTGTTTGGTTCCCAGGAGTGGTGTTGCTGCTGCTGCGGGTGACAGCATGCACGCTGCAAGCCATGAGCACCAGAAGAAACCGTCCAGTTGCAGCAGCCTTCATGGTGATAATAATAAGATAAGCAAGCGGGGGTGAAAAATTCACAAGTGCAGAATTCCAGCGGCTTCAGCTTTCTGTCCCTACCTATTAAATGCAAGAGATGAAGATCAACACCAATTCCGACCAAAGTACTAATAACCAAAGTACTAATAACTTCAAAGTACTTCTAAAATTAAAATTTCAGAAAATAATAATGTACTTGTGCGTAAAAGAAATTTGCATGTGGAGTACCTGAAACTAAAATAATGTCTTTTTTCTCGATTACGGGAACCAGGGAACGTATCTTATGGTCTTCTGTTCAGCAGTTATCGGTACTGTCAGTGAAAATCCAACTGCATGATGACGATCAATTATATCCTGCATCCAGAGTTTACAAAAATCAAAACCTTGCCGCATACTTACAATGATACAAAGATCAAAAGAAAACAAAGGCCCCGCTGACCCACAAACCAGAGAAAGAAGCGGTCGGACACCTGGTTACAGAAATCGACATGCTTGGATCGAAGCCCAGCAGTCGGAGTCGGAGGGATATCGCCAGCGAGGAAGAAGTCACCTTCTTGCACGGGACACACGGGCCGGTCGAGCTAAAGGGCAGCAGCTACAGCTATGAGCTACCCCTTCTTGTGTGGTTTGTGGTCTGCACACTGACTTTTTATTTCTGGTCCTGTTTAGTTCCCAAAAATTTTCACCCCAAACTGTCACATCGAATCTTGCGGCACATGCATGGAGCATTTAATGTAGACGAAAAAAAAATTAATTGCACAGTTTGGTTGGAAATCGCGAGACGAATGTTTTAAGCCCAATTAGTCCATGATTAGCCATAAGTGCTACAGTACCAACATGTGCTAGTGACGGATTAATTGGGCTTAATAAGTTCGTCTCGCAGTTTCCAGGCGAGCTATGTAATTAGTTTTTTTATTAGTACCCAAAAACCTCTTCCGACATCCCCCGAAACATCTGATGTGACATTCAAAAATTTTCATTTCACGAACTAAACGCGCCCGATGGGTGCCATTTTTGCCCCTTTCATGATGCCTTCTTGTAGAGACTAGAGATAACGGATGGGTGCTCTACGGCCACATCATCAAATATTGGCCATGCTTGCTTATGCTACAAGCAGCCCACAGTGGCTGCAGCTTATAGCTGAAGCTAGCTACAGTTCCAAACAGGCCCACTGATGATCGATCCCCCAGCAACAGGACGGCAACTTGCGCCATGAGCATAAGGATGCATCGCCCATAATTGGGGGTCACATCGACATTTCAAAGACGCCGTTAGGTGGCATTTTCTTCTACTTATTAGGACCGTACTGGTGCGTGCTACCACTACCAGCACTAAGCGCCGAACTTGCACTACGTCGGAGATAGTTTGTAGAGGCTGCTGCAGCGGGTTCGTAGGAACGGCTGGGTCAGCCGTCCTACCCATTCATCTCTATAAATCAACGATCTCTAGCCGCCCTTAGAAATTATTTTGTAGGGACGGCTAAATATTTGTAGGGGCGACTAGAAAACGATCTACCTCTACAAATTCTTGCCCAAAAATGAAGAATTCGGATCCAAAAAAATAGCAAAAAAAATTTATCCGAGGAGACCCCACCGGGCAGCCACACACGTGCAAGTCGCAAGTCACACAATTTTTTGCATGAAGGCCAAAAAATGAAGAATTCGGATCCAAAAAATAGCAAAAAAAAAATTATCCGAGGAGACCCCACCGGGCAGCCACACACGTGCAAGTCGCAAGTCACACAATTTTTCGCGTGAAAAACACGCACTTCATGGCCACCGGAATCAAACCCGCAACATTATCTCACCTCGCGTGTTACTCCTTTAATTACTCCACCCCATACTCCCTTGTGTCCATATGAAATATTCTCCCTTTTTTACTATACTCATTTGATTTTGAAATGAGTGTTTGGGACCCTAAACGATTTAAAATGAAAATGTTTTCAACTACAAAGGTGTATAACTTTTCGATATCTACAACTTTCGTTTTGGTTGTTTCTCAATCCGAGGTTGTTTTAAAAATTCGAATTTCTAATATGAGAAATCCGAACGTAATTTTTCCTGGATAGATGATTTCAAATGAAAAAGTTGTCCACTACAAAGTTGTATAACTTTTCGAGATTTATAACTTTTGTTTTGGTTATTTTCTCCATCTAAGGTTGTTCAAAATTTCAAATTTCAAATGTGAGAAATTGAAATGTAATTTTCTTGGATAGATGATTTCTAATGAAAAAGTTGTCAACTACAAAGTTGTATGACTTTTCGAGATCTAAAACTTTTGTGTTGGTTGTTTTTCCATCCGTGGCCATTCAAAAATTTGAATTTCAAATGTTAGAAATTCAAACGTAATTTTTCTTGGATAGATGATCTCAAATGAAAACGTTATCAACTACAAAGTTGTATAACTTTTCAAGATCTACGACTGTTGTTCTGGTCGTTTCTCCATCCGAGATCATTTAAAAATATCAAATGTCATTATGTAATTTTACTGTTCGACCCCCATTTTTCGAGGTGGCTCTATATCAGGGGCGGTTGGATCTAGCCCCTAAAAATAGGGCCATTTGTCGTAGGACAGCTTGCGTACCTCATTCATCTAGCGCTTGACCATGACGCTGGGACTGTCATGACCCGATCATGACATGTCTGTGAGCACAAGCATCATGATCAGCATATGCATTTGAATCTCAAGTTAAGAAATCAACTTGCATTGAAATCTGCATTTAGACTGCTCACTGTTAGTTTGATAGAGAGCCCGCCACCACCAACGGACGGTCTGTCAACCTATCTGCACGGCCTAACAGAAATGCAATCTGTCAGTGTAAACTCGACACTCACCGGAGAGTTCGCCAATCCAATGGATGTTCCGTCAAATCATCCCATGCATGATTTGTGAGGTGTCACTTTGTTAACCACCTAGGTCCCACAGCCAAGGCAATGTGTCCATCTCGTGTGAGCCATCAGCAGAGGCAGCTCTCAGCCCTCACTCTCCCACTCTCACTCTCTCTCTAGTTCTCTCTCTACTCTCTCTCCCACCCAAGGAAGAAGAAGGAGAAGGAAAGGAGAAGGAAAGGAGGGATTGGATCTTGCAGCAGCTCAAGATGATGATGGAGGTCACTTAGAAGGCCAGCACCACAAGGGGCAAGGGTTGAATGGGGAGGAGTCCTCTCACCCTTGCCATTGGAGCATTGGAGGAGGAGGAGAAGGCTTGAGCAATAACCAAGTCACCAATGGGAGATCTAGCTTCTCCAGCACCTTTGGGAAGCTTGCCATCTTCTTTTGCAAGCCTTGGTATGGATCAATTCGAGCTCAAACTCAGTTTTCACTCTCATGAGCACAAAACCTAGGAAATGTCAATTTGTGACCAAAATTTAGTTTGCACACCTTTTAGCTAGAGCCAACTAGCTAGATATGCTCTATATAACACCAGCAACTTATCCTAGAGATGGTTTGCTCATGCAAGGATCCTAGATAAAGTTTTGAGCTTCGAGTTGTTCAGTTTGGCCACTGTCAGTGAACTGATGGAGAGTCCGTAGATCCTACTGGAGGGTCCGTCATCACTAAAACCCAACTGTTTACACTTAAGCAGAGCACATTATGATTCAACGGAGAGTCCGTGGAATCATATATCTGAGTTAGAGAGCCTAAAGCTACAGACTTGTCTCAGTGGAGTGTCTGTAAGTTTCACTGGAGTGTCCGCTGATGATTAAACCTGATTTTTACGGAAACCCGAGAGTAGCCAGTTCGTGGCGGAGGCTTCGTCACTCACAGCGGAACGTTCCGCTGGAGCCTGAACACTTAGCCAAGTAGCACCCTACAGACTTGGCCAACGGACAGTCCGTCACCCACGACGGAATGTTCCGTTGATTTATAGAGAGAACACCACACATTCTCGAAGCTACAGACTTCAGTACCAGAGAGTCCATGAGTTACCACGGAGGGTCCGATGACCCAGCTGTCCTGTTTTCACTAAGTCCCTGAGTTAGCGGATGGTCCATCACTTATACCGTGCGGTCCGATAACCCAAACCGATAGCACACTTGTTCTACACTTGAACACTTAATACATATGACCTAATGCTAATCAAGTAACATCATTACATAGCATATAATGTCATATCATTTACTTCATGTATTGTACTCATCAAGCATCATGCATGTATAGGTGACGAGGTTATCGAGGAGGTCCCAGGCGAGCAAGAGCCTCAGGAAGAGGAGCCCAACGACGAGCCAACCGACGTAGCTCAAGGTAGGCCCCTATGCATCCCTTTGCTTTTGTTAAATGCATAATGAACTATGGTTATCTATTGCATCGATATGTTACTATATGACTAGATGAACCATGAGTTACCTAATTGAGCCACCAAACCTTGATGTTGCCACACCACTCAACTATTGCTTGTTTCTCTTATTAATTCATGCTTAGTTTGCTTAGATCCTAGAGTCGAGCTAATGATGGGTTTCTCATTACTCACGCGATGTTAGGCATGCTTGCCCACTAAGCAACATTAATGGAGGATGATCTAAAACTTGACCAATGATGAAGTTTGATGTCGAATGGTCGGCGAGGGGTTGGGTCATGGCAAGATGGTGGTGATCTTGAATGACATAGCTCGCTAACTGGTTAAGGACTGTGCATCCGTGATAGTGAGTTATGAACATAAAATTGTACAAACCACTTGTCATTTATGGGAGTGACAAGCCAAGTAACTAATCGCGACCGGCTTGTTCGTGAAACTGGCACGAGGGTGTCGCCGGGTAGATCATGATAGCATTACCCGGGAGCTTATCAACCCTTTTGTGAACATCCTTGGCCGGATTAGGGAAAGGTTGAGACATCAAGGTATCCCTTATGTACCGATGGGTCGTATGGGCGATATCCCTTTTTCTGGTGGGGTTAATGTGTACCCCTTTGCAGAGTGTTCTTTTGAAAGCTATAAGTTCTAAACTTCTAGATGCGGATTAGAGTTTGTTATGAATACCAGGACTCGTGGAAGATTGAGCT